TCTTCCTCAGAAACTCTTCTGTACTGTAAAAGGCTATTAAGTGCTTTAAATAAACCACAGTGGGCACTTTTAACAGAGCTCAATATGGACGTTTCTTTCGACAAGGCTGTTTCGGTGGTGATATAGCACTGTTGGAATTGGAGCATGAAATAAACGAAAAAGATGCAAATTATATATGTTTAGCAAGTAGAATTCTTCTGAATGAGAAGTTTTACACAATCCAAAGCGTTGGATGGGGAAGCAATCGTTCGTTTTCCGTATTTTACATTTTCACTGAAGTATTATGATCGATGAATTCGGATCATTTGATTTCGAGAGATATTCTGATCAGCAGACAAGAAATGATAAAATCAAAATAAAGGATTTCAACAAATTATTTTTTCGCATATAACACCAAATCTTTGCTTTTTCAGTTCCCGACATTGTGTAATCATTTAATTCTAGCAGCGATGAAACGTATTCTCATGAATAATTTACAAAAACTGGAATTCCATCGTTTATTAGATCGAAATATGTGTGCGGAGAAAATAAATAATTTACCGAACGATATTTTGTGTACCGAAGAAGCGCATAATCGAAACGTTTGCTTGGTTTATTTTGTTTTGAAATATTTATATTGCTTTAATCAAAAATTATTCTATACCATAACAAAGATTACAGTTAAGGAAGCAATATAGTAAGCAATCGGTGCAGTGATACATAGAAAGCAATATGGAAACACATATATAATCAAAAGAGTATATAATTATCAAATATTTCTAATTATTTCGGCCATTTTTCTGATATACTAATTGTTTGCTGAATTTGATTGATAAATATCTTCGTCTTTGCTGTTCAGTATCTTCCACTTCTTTTTAATTAATAATTTAATCTTAGGCGTTAACCTGAAAGCTTTATTTGTTCCAAAAATTAAATTATAGATTTTCTAGGACTGAACATAAAAGTAATCCAATTAGTTAGTATTGTTTGCTGAATAAAATGCTTATTGGAACTGTTGTCTGACAGACGTAAACCTTAGCTGAATTCATTAAACCGTTTCGGTCATCATTTTCTTTTACTTAGAACTTAATTTCTTGTTATTAATTTTCATTTCTGAAAAATATTCACGACAAATATGTTTTGGCTAGGCTTCCAATTTTTATATTCATGGATATTATTTATTTATATTCATATTTATGGATTATATTTATGAAATAATTACAACATTATGTCATCCTTATCAGGGTGAAATAACTTATTTCAGGGCGATAGTGGTGCTGGTCTGATGGTCCAACTTCATAATGGACGTTGGCTGCTTCTCGGTATCGTCTCATATGGTAGCTCTTGTAATAAACTGTTGGAGAAAAGAGCTCAACCCTTAGCTCAAGTTTACACGAATGTCAAAATGTATAGAGGAGAGATTGATAAATTCACCGAATACTTCTTACCTTGGGAACAATTGTGAGCATGATATGATTGCTCTGTGGTCAACCATGTAAACTATTCGAGTGATGCTTTTCGATGCTATAAAATTTGTACTTTTAAATTTCATGAAGAAGAATCGGAATGAATATTGTGATATTATTTGTGAAATAGAAAATTTGATCGTTTCCTTAATTATTGAAAGAAAAAACAATGATAAACACGAACACAAAGCACGAACTTTTCAATTTCTTTTTCATTCATTTAGATGAGATAGAAATGAAAAATTATTCCATCACTGATTTGAAAATAGTACTAACAGGACAAGTCTCCCGTGTTCTTCAATAACGTGCTCCTAAATAAAAGTAATTGATGTCGCAAGGAAAGGTTTCTCTATTTGAAAGGACAGAAATATCATCAGGAATGCCAAATTTCACCTCTCTTGTTTTTCCTTCATTACCTCACTTTCTAGTTTGTTGCTACCAGATCCCTTTTTCATACCATCAATTATTAACGAAAATAAATTTCAATTTTATTCGAGAAAGAAAAAATTGTTTACTTTTATGTTATGTATAATGCAATTTGAGCGTTGTTGCCAAGCGAATTCGTCACTAAATTTTTTGGAGTTATTTCTATATAGTAAAGATTCTATATAGTAAAAATTTAAAAAAAAAAAAGGAAATTAACTTAAAATTCCAGTGTACTTTCTTGATCAAGCAGTCGGCAACAAAAGCCGGACAAACGATAAACCCACGAAGATCTTTCAATGAAATTCACACAGTTTGCATACAATTAGAGCAGATTGAAAGTTTGTTAGGATTGGTAAAAAGGAAATATGTAAATTTAATTGATAAATATCTAAATTAAATGTATATGCATCTTTTCTTTATAAAATTCATTTATATTTTCTCGAAACTTTCGAAGCAGTCCGAATTGTTCATTCGGTCATAAAATTTATTATTTTGTATATTTTTGAACCAATTTAAGCAGATTTAAATTTAAATAACATTCTAATTCTAATTTATTTCTAATTTATTTTGCAAATTCCCCCGTGTTTTCAGAGTTTCAGATGCATTTTTACAAAAATACCTTTGTTGCTTGCATAATACAGTCACTATTTTTTTTTTCTTGTTTTTCGGTACTGATAATGAAATGATTCCAGAAATTTGATGTCACATATCGCTCAATAAAAACAACTGCACGAATCAAATAGCTATTTAACAAAAACAATAAATATTTCTTCCTTTGAATTTTTTCCTGAAGTTCGATAAGTAATTATAAAATGAAAGTTCAAATCGATTGAATTGGAGTAAAAGTTTCGGCAGCAACAAATTTCAATTTTATTCAACAAAAGATACGCGCATAAACAGTTTGTTTGAAGTTCTTGTTATTCAGCATAAATTATAAATAATTAATCCTAAAAATGAGATAAAACATTCATAACAAAGCTGACTGTAATCCTAAGACTCTTTGGTGGATATTGTTCGCAAATATTATTGCAGCCACTGATGTCCGTGCTGTCATCATTATTATTTTCGTCGCCAATAACAGTGTTACCATCATCACCGTTAATATCGTCAATAGTGTTGCTCATGTCATCACCACCATCATTACCACTAATGTTCATGTTACGGTCATCACCACCAGTATTATCGTCTCCAGTAATGTTTATGCTTCTTGAAAATTCCTTAAAAACACAATTTTCTTTTACTCTTTTCTGACATAATTATGCTATTGGTGTAAATTCAGAAAATTACCGTAGCGAATCCCTGCGAAATTATGACTAATGAGAGTATGTTGATAATGCAAAAAAAATGTGTTGGATGGAAATCGCGCCGCTTTCATCGTTGCAAGACGTTTCCGAAATTGGTACCTTAATTAATCAAAAGATGTGATTTTAAATGCAAGCATACATTTCAACGAATGAAGGTAAAGGTAATAGAAATTTAAAATAGAATAGATATTTCCGATTCATAAGAGAAGGATTTATAATTTAAATTTTTACGAATCTTAATATTTCCTCGATTTGCGTATTTGACTTACCTTTTGTTGACAGAAACAAAATGAAAACCAGGTAAATTAGAGACAGATGCAAGTATGCAATGAATTCTAGATAAATACATTTTTCTTTTGAATTAAATAATCTTCATTCTATGCAAATACTTCATAATTTCAATAAAATATTTTCCACGATAATTTGAAAGGCAAATATTTTATGAATTTTGGTCTCTGTTGTCTCTCTTTAAAGCAAAAATGCGAAACGATAACTTTCACACTTTTTTTTTTCCAAATTTGTAACAACATTTATATTATTTCGTATATTTTTAAGTATTATCATGCTTATATATATATATATATATATTGGAAGTTTTAGTTATTGAAAACAGCTCCTATCACTTCATTGGTTTGTCACCAACAGCTTTTAACAAATTGTCCTTATGTCATCATTGACACAACATTGCCTCACTTGGTAATATGCTTTCCTGTTAACAATTCCATCACTGATCCGTTATTATGCTCAAAATGGAAATTTTTTGTGATATTTGAAATAAGAGACTTTGAACCAAACTATTATTCTCATTCCATTTTATAGTCAGTTGGTTAATAATACAAATTCAAATTTCCCCATTTAAATATTGCACAAAATAGTAATAGTGATGTAAAGAATGGAATCAAACGCTTTGAGGAAGAGATTCTCGGTTCAAACGTGAAGCTAAAAGCATATTACTGGGAGTATATCAAAATTATGAAAGACTCTGAGTGGTAAGCCAATAAAGTAATATAATCAGCAGATCATTCCAGCAGACAAAAACTTTCTAGCAGATAAAAACTTATAGAAACTTTATAAAGGTTCTCAAAAAAATATTGAGAACACGAAAATATTCCAAAAAAAAAAATGCTTTAAAAAAATAAAAACTCGACTCGTACATTTTACACCTGTTATTTTCATTAGCAAAACATTTAAAAATGTTAAAAAAAAAACGTGTAAAATATTTCAAAATACAGAAACAATTTGAGTATCGTTCAATTTTTTACCAGAAAATATTTTTTTTTACAATTGGGATACATTGAGCAAAGATTCGGTACACTTATATTATTAGTAAAGTTGCAAAGATTACTTCGCGTAATTTTTGTGAATTTGCATTGCTATGATTCAGATTATTTTTTCTTTCAAATTCAATGATCTTTGCTCAACGCGAATGTATATCAAAAAAAATATTTTTGCAAAACTTATTGTTTCTCAATTTGTTTCCATTCTTTTTCATTTTTTTGTATATTTTTGAATGTTTTACTGGTGAAAACAATTTCGTCGATGCATATGAGCAACTGGATGCGGCAGTCGATTTTCCATTCAAACTGACTAATAAGTATATTCTGTGGAATAGTTCCCACTAAATTTTTTGCAAAGTTTTATGTTATCTTCTGATTAAAGAAGTCAATTTCCTTATACGATTTGTGTTTAAAAGATCTTCGAGATAATTTCATTTTACTGGGGCCCATCAAAGTCTTGATATACCCTCACTGATACGCGATCGGTCTTTTGAACCGAGAATATCTCCTAATCTCTTTAGGTATAAATTCCGGAAACTCTCATAACGATGAAAAACGCGAGATTTCCATTCTACACATCACTGTTACTGTTTTGTGCTCTTGGTGTGACAATGTTGTTAGCAGAACCGCATGAACAGTTCCAGGTAGTTTTCAGTCTTATCGATGTTTCTCGTTTTTCCTGCAATTTGTCTCAAAATAAAAAATGGTTTCCTACTACCCTTATCTAAAATCCAATTTACACATTTAGTGCATTGGATGAAAAGAAAACTGTGGGTTCTGACGAATTTTCAATTTCCAATAAAATAAAAATTCATTGAAGAAATCTTATAACTTTAAAATGAGCGATCAAGACGATGACAGTTCCTCAGCGGAAGAACCCACTAATGATTTTAACCTTGAAAGTTGGGTCCAATCAAACGATTACAGTAATACAAATCGACAGATGGTGCCACTGAGGTAAGCCTACTTTTTTCCCACAAGTAAAGCTTTATGATGTAAGTGTTTGTAGGCAGCTAATTAAAGAAAAGAAAACGATAAAATTTTAACGGCTATGGCTGTTATACCTCTGATTGATTCATCTTTTTCAGTCGTATGCGTCCGATTAATTTCACGGCCGCTAATATTTTGTTCAGAAGAGTTAATTATGCGTCTTAATCAACGGATTTACAGAAGCACAAAACTTTTGTTTCATTATATTCGTGATGTTTGTTGTTGAAAAAGTTGAAATTTTTTATTATTAACATTTTTGATGCCAAATTATTTTCATTTTAATATAATCGATTTCATTCTTCTTTTGTAATCATTTGACGAACTGATAAAAAGATGCAACAGAGGAAATATTTGCTGCTTAATTAATCAGCTGTTCGACTCGAGCATGAATGATATTGTAATATGCATTTTAACGCCATTATTGCTCAGAATCGCATACCTACGATCTGACAGAGAAATGTAGATAATCAGATTCAAATCACCGATATAATCATATCGATTTGATATATAACTTCTTCATTGATTATTGATCAAATATTTCACTATCCAGCAATGTCCAGATTGTTTCATATATTTTGCACAACTGAAACAAACGCAATTTTCTTTAAACAATGAGGTGAAATACTTAACATGACAGAATTTTTCGAATGGAAGCTATCATTTCAGATTGGTTGGAATTAAACGACCAAAGATTCAAACAGTTTTTAATCTTCTGACTCGCATCATTTTTCATGCTTTTTCACTCACATTGTCATTTTCCTACCATTATAAGTTGACAGTTGGTGAATCACATGACAAAGTGCATATTTTGTTGAGGTGGAAATCTATTTGCTATCTTTTGTGATTGCAGTTTTGATTTAATTTCTCATATTAATGAGAAGCATTAACTGTTGTTAGAACTCATAGTTAGCCGTTTGGTGATATGATATGATATAATATAATAGAGAAAATAATAGTCTTAATTAATTTAGAATTTGCATAGATTGCTTAGTTAAGATTTTGTAATATTCTCTTCCTTTTAAGACTTTTGATGAGATTTTGGCAGGTTACAAGCAATGATGTTTGGAGTATTCAACTCTCAATTTCGATGAGTGAAGCATTTACTTCATTGTTCAGTCTACTACCGCTCCTAGTATTTGTCACTAAATGTTGACTCTACACAATCGATGACTAACTTTCGTGTGTCAGATAGGTAATTTGATGTAACAATTTGGTGCAACGTTTTTCAAATCTATCTAACTAATGCTCCATGTCGTGCAAGAGCCTTCATTCTATCGTTAGCAAAAATGAATATGTCAAATACCTGGAAATTTCGTTATGAAGCAAAAGCAAAAGCAGCGCACAGAGATATATTTAACGGTTTAACACTTTAGTTCCTTTTATTCGTATTTACTATATAGAAATTTAAAAAAGTAATTCAAATTTCGTTTCAATTTAGAAATTTTTGATAAATTTTATTCTTTTTTACCGATTCTCAAGTATTTGTCATTTTAATTAGGAGAAATTTTATCTAATAAACTATAAGGAATATAAAAAGAATGCAAAAATGACACATTATTATAAGCACGCACAACTTATTATATTTAAATTATAAAGATCGATTTGCACGAATAATATTCGATTTGATAAGCTAGAAATTATTAAATTATCGTCTATTCACTCGTTTTTCTTTAATATTGTTGTACTTAAGATTGTTTATCCTTAATTGCACTTAAGATTATCTATCCTTTTAGAATATTGAGGCTCAAGAAAGAAAAAAAAATTAAGGTTCAGGAAAAAATGACATGTTAAAAGAATTCAGTCTTGCTAATCTCAGCAAAAAAGTTCCACGCCATTGTTTTGCATATTGTAAACGACAAGTGGTCGTCAGTATGTTTTTAGCAGATCAACAGTTATGTTTTTTGTTTCAAATACACGCAAAAACAAGCAAACAACTCGTGATCTAAGTTATCTGAAATGCGACGTGATAAGTTTATTTTATTAACTTAGACATTTCTATATCAAATTACGTTAATTAAGTATCAATGCCAGAACAGAAGTATTTCAGAACAGCGAGAACCTTACCAGGATGCACTTTAAAAACGAAGAATTACAATGAAATCATCAAACATAAGGAGATGTTTGATGAACCTTTTATTTATGAATGCAGAGGACCTGATCGTGGAATTAAAATTTAATCATTCATCATCATTGTACAGTCATCAGGAGAAATGCAAGTAGCAAAGACTGTGGAAAAAATTTTCAACGTTCAACGTTGAGTATAAGCTAAATATCCACAAGAAAGGTTGCATCGGAACTCAACGTTAATTTGGATAATCTAGCAAAAATCTAAACATGTTTGCTATTTGAAATTAATGCACATATATGGAAATATGTTAAGAAACATCTATGACTTTATAAAATTCGTGATCGATTTCATTTCAGGCAGATGAATGCTTGAGAATATCGTTAAATCAAAAACTTTATTTGTTTTCTCATGTATTTAAAATTTTTTTTTTTTTTGTAAATTTTCCGCTGCGATGAAATCAGATCCAGTCCTCGATTCTTTGTTGTTTATTCGTGTATTCATTTTATTTCTTGAACAGTAGGTACTGCTTATCTTTTCTTATGTTGAATATAAACGAGAATGATCTATTTTTTTTTGGTTAAATACTGCATTCCTATTGAAATTTGTACCGCTGTAGAACGGGTCTTTCTCAGCTATACATTTAACTCTAAGTAGGCAAACATGTTTGAAGTTCTGTTAAATTTGTGAAACTAACGTAGAGCTTTCGTACAATGCTTCTTGTGAGACCTCAAATTATTCTTACAGTTGAAAATTTTGCCACAGTTTCCTCACTTAAGTTTAGGCCCGTGTGTTTCCTGGTGATTGACGAATGTTGATTTATGATTGAATGTTCGCCCACAACCGGACGTTTTGCATTCATAAATAAAAGGTTTGGAGTGTGTTTTCCTGTGAGCTATGTATTTCTTGTAAATCTTTGTTTTCGTAGTACATCCGACATGGGGACACTCGTATTTTTCCTCATATGAATCAGCTATTAGTTTAACAATAGGAAAATTAGAATGGAAGGAAAGGAGTAATGATGCAAATGAGACAGATTAAAAACTGTTTGAACCTTTGGTCGTTTACCATTTTTGTCATCTTAAAAATTTCACTTTGTTCTTTATTACAACGATGACACAAATCATTTGGTTCAGCTTTCTTCTTTGCATCGCTTTGGCTGAGAATGGGACTATCTTCGCGACACTGGTAGCATCCAGTCGAGTAACTTGTGATTCTCAGACAGCTCCAATATACTTGACAAAATAGATTCAGAGCCAATTCTTGGTTTAAACACTAATATCTCTGAAAGTTTCTGTCAGCTATTCGAAAATGAAGATTTAAGCATTGAGGAATACGAATTTAAGATGACAAAAATGGCAGCTTTTACTTGAGATTAGTTGGAATTAAACGACCAAAGGTTCAAACAGTTTTTAATCTGTCTCATTTGCATCATTACTCCTTTCCTTCCATTCTAATTTTCCTATTGTTAAACTAATAGCTGATTCATATGAGGAAAAATACGAGTGTCCCCATGTCGGATGTACTACGAAAACAAAGATTTACAAGAAATACATAGCTCACAGGAAAACACACTCCAAACCTTTTATTTATGAATGCAAAACGTCCGGTTGTGGGCGAACATTCAATCATAAATCAACATTCGTCAATCACCAGGAAACACACGGGCCTAAACTTAAGTGAGGAAACTGTGGCAAAATTTTCAACTGTAAGAATAATTTGAGGTCTCACAAGAAGCATTGTACGAAAGCTCTACGTTAGTTTCACAAATTTAACAGAACTTCAAACATGTTTGCCTACTTAGAGTTAAATGTATAGCTGAGAAAGACCCGTTCTACAGCGGTACAAATTTCAATAGGAATGCAGTATTTAACCAAAAAAAAATAGATCATTCTCGTTTATATTCAACATAAGAAAAGATAAGCAGTACCTACTGTTCAAGAAATAAAATGAATACACGAATAAACAACAAAGAATCGAGGACTGGATCTGATTTCATCGCAGCGGAAAATTTACAAAAAAAAAAAAAATTTTAAATACATGAGAAAACAAATAAAGTTTTTGATTTAACGATATTCTCAAGCATTCATCTGCCTGAAATGAAATCGATCACGAATTTTATAAAGTCATAGATGTTTCTTAACATATTTCCATATATGTGCATTAATTTCAAATAGCAAACATGTTTAGATTTTTGCTAGATTATCCAAATTAACGTTGAGTTCCGATGCAACCTTTCTTGTGGATATTTAGCTTATACTCAACGTTGAACGTTGAAAATTTTTTCCACAGTCTTTGCTACTTGCATTTCTCCTGATGACTGTACAATGATGATGAATGATTAAATTTTAATTCCACGATCAGGTCCTCTGCATTCATAAATAAAAGGTTCATCAAACATCTCCTTATGTTTGATGATTTCATTGTAATTCTTCGTTTTTAAAGTGCATCCTGGTAAGGTTCTCGCTGTTCTGAAATACTTCTGTTCTGGCATTGATACTTAATTAACGTAATTTGATATAGAAATGTCTAAGTTAATAAAATAAACTTATCACGTCGCATTTCAGATAACTTAGATCACGAGTTGTTTGCTTGTTTTTGCGTGTATTTGAAACAAAAAACATAACTGTTGATCTGCTAAAAACATACTGACGACCACTTGTCGTTTACAATATGCAAAACAATGGCGTGGAACTTTTTTGCTGAGATTAGCAAGACTGAATTCTTTTAACATGTCATTTTTTCCTGAACCTTAATTTTTTTTTCTTTCTTGAGCCTCAATATTCTAAAAGGATAGATAATCTTAAGTGCAATTAAGGATAAACAATCTTAAGTACAACAATATTAAAGAAAAACGAGTGAATAGACGATAATTTAATAATTTCTAGCTTATCAAATCGAATATTATTCGTGCAAATCGATCTTTATAATTTAAATATAATAAGTTGTGCGTGCTTATAATAATGTGTCATTTTTGCATTCTTTTTATATTCCTTATAGTTTATTAGATAAAATTTCTCCTAATTAAAATGACAAATACTTGAGAATCGGTAAAAAAGAATAAAATTTATCAAAAATTTCTAAATTGAAACGAAATTTGAATTACTTTTTTAAATTTCTATATAGTAAATACGAATAAAAGGAACTAAAGTGTTAAACCGTTAAATATATCTCTGTGCGCTGCTTTTGCTTTTGCTTCATAACGAAATTTCCAGGTATTTGACATATTCATTTTTGCTAACGATAGAATGAAGGCTCTTGCACGACATGGAGCATTAGTTAGATAGATTTGAAAAACGTTGCACCAAATTGTTACATCAAATTACCTATCTGACACACGAAAGTTATTCATCGATTGTGTAGAGTCAACATTTAGTGACAAATACTAGGAGCGGTAGTAGACTGAACAATGAAGTAAATGCTTCACTCATCGAAATTGAGAGTTGAATACTCCAAACATCATTGCTTGTAACCTGCCAAAATCTCATCAAAAGTCTTAAAAGGAAGAGAATATTACAAAATCTTAACTAAGCAATCTATGCAAATTCTAAATTAATTAAGACTATTATTTTCTCTATTATATTATATCATATCATATCACCAAACGGCTAACTATGAGTTCTAACAACAGTTAATGCTTCTCATTAATATGAGAAATTAAATCAAAACTGCAATCACAAAAGATAGCAAATAGATTTCCACCTCAACAAAATATGCACTTTGTCATGTGATTCACCAACTGTCAACTTATAATGGTAGGAAAATGACAATGTGAGTGAAAAAGCATGAAAAATGATGCGAGTCAGAAGATTAAAAACTGTTTGAATCTTTGGTCGTTTAATTCCAACCAATCTGAAATGATAGCTTCCATTCGAAAAATTCTGTCATGTTAAGTATTTCACCTCATTGTTTAAAGAAAATTGCGTTTGTTTCAGTTGTGCAAAATATATGAAACAATCTGGACATTGCTGGATAGTGAAATATTTGATCAATAATCAATGAAGAAGTTATATATCAAATCGATATGATTATATCGGTGATTTGAATCTGATTATCTACATTTCTCTGTCAGATCGTAGGTATGCGATTCTGAGCAATAATGGCGTTAAAATGCATATTACAATATCATTCATGCTCGAGTCGAACAGCTGATTAATTAAGCAGCAAATATTTCCTCTGTTGCATCTTTTTATCAGTTCGTCAAATGATTACAAAAGAAGAATGAAATCGATTATATTAAAATGAAAATAATTTGGCATCAAAAATGTTAATAATAAAAATTTCAACTTTTTCAACAACAAACATCACGAATATAATGAAACAAAAGTTTTGTGCTTCTGTAAATCCGTTGATTAAGACGCATAATTAACTCTTCTGAACAAAATATTAGCGGCCGTGAAATTAATCGGACGCATACGACTGAAAAAGATGAATCAATCAGAGGTATAACAGCCATAGCCGTTAAAATTTTATCGTTTTCTTTTCTTTAATTAGCTGCCTACAAACACTTACATCATAAAGCTTTACTTGTGGGAAAAAAGTAGGCTTACCTCAGTGGCACCATCTGTCGATTTGTATTACTGTAATCGTTTGATTGGACCCAACTTTCAAGGTTAAAATCATTAGTGGGTTCTTCCGCTGAGGAACTGTCATCGTCTTGATCGCTCATTTTAAAGTTATAAGATTTCTTCAATGAATTTTTATTTTATTGGAAATTGAAAATTCGTCAGAACCCACAGTTTTCTTTTCATCCAATGCACTAAATGTGTAAATTGGATTTTAGATAAGGGTAGTAGGAAACCATTTTTTATTTTGAGACAAATTGCAGGAAAAACGAGAAACATCGATAAGACTGAAAACTACCTGGAACTGTTCATGCGGTTCTGCTAACAACATTGTCACACCAAGAGCACAAAACAGTAACAGTGATGTGTAGAATGGAAATCTCGCGTTTTTCATCGTTATGAGAGTTTCCGGAATTTATACCTGAACTAGAAAAAAATTAGTTTTATGAAATTTTCACAAATTTTATTTAGTTGATTTGTGTGTTGGAGTTGTCTATTATTGTTTTGCAGAAGCGGAAATAAAAACGGAGTTAGAGGGAAATAATAAATTTGTAATGAATTCCAGAACAATTTAATTTCTTATTTGAACTGAATAAACTTTTTTCTATGCAAAATACTTCATAATTCCAATAAAATATTTTTGGCGATGAATTGAAAAGCAAATATTTTGTGAATTTTGCTTCCTGTTGTCCCTCTTTTGGTCCATCTTTAAAGCAAAAAAAGTGAATTTATAACTTTCACTTTATATAAATGCTTCGGAAAATATTTTTATAGCACGAATTTTATTAAATTTTCAGTAACGCTCAGATTATGAATTTCTAAAATTTTGCTACAGAAAATAATTTGAAAACGATTAACTATGTATAGCAATCATATTTCATTTAACTCACTGATAACTATGTCTTCAAGGAATGTTTTCCTCTTCTTTTTTTTGCAAACTTCTGTAAACTTTTGATGTGTTTGATAGTCGCATATTCCCCTTGTAATTAACTAATTAGGATTTGGACTTGAAAGATGTGATTTTCATTATTTTATTTCTTTATTACTCACAACCTTTTGTAATTTTCATCATGATTACATCTTCAAAGTTCTATAAACTGATAATGTGCTTTCCCGATTATAACAGCAACATTGACATCTAATATTTCAGAGCGAGAAGTGTTATGGTATTTGAAATAGAGAATCAAATTGTGACTAATTGTTCAGAAGAATTCTAAACCATTCCAATTCACATTCGTTTCTTGCCTTGCTAAAGTTTCCGTATTTCTTATTATACAGCTAAATTAAGCACTGAAATTTTGAAATATTTCAGTTGTCGCTCTTTTATTGAACTGTATTTAATTTTCAGAAGAGTGTACATAACAATGAAAAATTTTTTCGTAAAAAAGCATTATTGACCATCGCATCTATCGATTATGTGACAGCACCAGAAATATGTGACAACACCAGGAAAATAATTTTTCAGCAAATTTTAAGATGTTTAAAAAAAGTAGCAAGAAGTTTCGGCAAAAATTATAACTAACTTTCATGTCTTTCGTACAATTTGTTGCATTCAAAATTCCGAAGTAGGAAAAGGTTAACCCAGAAGCATCACTTCCTGTTCGTTGTGATTAACATATAGTTAGTGCGTTGTTGTGATAACATATATCATAGCTGTTATCCTAAAATCCCTGTTTGTATCAGGAAATCTTTTTTGGTATTTTGAACTTTCTTTCTTCATTAAAACTCTTTTGTTTTTTATTTGTTTCGATTCAAGAAGTTTTCTTGATTTGTTTTTATTTTTTACTTAAAAATGGTAAAACATCGAACTTACGAAATATCAATGAAAAAGGATTATAAAAACAAATGAAAACTTGTCAGTGTGGCTTTTTTCACCTTATCACTTTGCTCATTCAATACATAAAACTGTTGGGGATTTTCCATGCTATCGACGAAGTTTCTAATACCTTTTTTTCGTATTTTATTTTTGTTTTTGCCTCAAAATATTTTTGAATTAATGTTTTAAAAACACTAAGCGAAAATAATTTTTTGTGCGAATCCCTGTAAATTTAACTTCAGAAAGTTTCAAGCATTAGTTATGATTGTTTTGATTGCAATCAATGAGCGATCAGATGAATGATGGATCAACAATCAATTTTAAAACGATGTCTTAAATTACTTGTTTGTTCAGCACTTTTACACCACTTCAAGTATGATCAAAAATTATTATCATTGACCAGATTACTCCAAAAATTTTAAAGTTTGTTAAATCATAATTGGATGTTATCAAAATATACAAATAATACTAGGCGTAATATGAATGAAAATCTCATGTGCAATAAATTTTCATAACAGTATAATAAGTCGACATATAATAATACAAATTTATGAATGGGGGGCGAATTTTGTATGCTTTTGATAAAGATAATAAAAAGCAAACAAAATTTCAAATATATCAGTGGAGACCTTGTATTTCACTTTTAGTTCAAATTTTAACAATAAACTGATGAAAAAAGAAAGCTCACTAAGACAATGAAAAAAAAAAATGTCAGAACTGATTCACATTACTTGCTTTTATTTCACTAACAATTATAGTAGTGTCACTGTAATGAAATTTCTTTCGCATCGTCGCTGAAAGTAATAATTTCCTTCAACTGAAAGATTAACGACAAAATAGCAGAAATTTCAAATAATCTAAAATTAGTTTACTAACAGTAAACACATCTTTATTCTATAAATCAAAAAAACGCGATTTTCATTATTAATTATCCTCCAAATTTCAGGCATAATGTAAAAAGATTAAAGTATTAAAGTGTTATAGTAACAATCTTCATTAGAATAATTTGAGCAGAAATTATTCACTTTCTTTTTCATACAAATACTTATAAAACCTTAATTTCAAATAAATTTTTATTCCTTTTAAAAAAAATTTTTTTTAAATAAAACTCTTAAGAATCAACATTTCAATGACTATAAATATTTTCCAAATTTTCTCATATAAGATCATCATGAAGTAAATGAATGTTGAATTCATTAGCTGTTTTTTTTTTTTTTGTTTTCTCATTTTTCATTGCAAGAAAAAAAGCAAAAATATTGCTGAGAAAAATCTAAAGCACAAACTTTGAGGTAAATCACCAATTATGGTAGGCGCTAATATTACTCAAGTATTTGAAAATCATACACTTCTCGATATATAATGCTTGAATTCGAATCATGATAACCACGTTTTAAATAATAATTTCGAATTCTCGTAGCTCACAAATAGGCAACCAGTTGCACAGAATGCACGGATCAATGTAATTGTTAATCCATTATATAATGTTCGTATACCTTAATAGAACAACGCGCAGTTGAATAGATCAACTTATTACTGTTACTACTAAAAGAACTCCAGCTTATGACAAATATAAAATATGATTTATAAAACTACTACTATGAAAAGTGATTGCAGAATTGTGACACATTTCTGGATGTAGAATTTTAAAAAGTCTACATTCATAATATGATTTTTCTGATTTTCAAAAGAACAGTAAAGGACAGCAAAATACTAATAATGAATGAAATACCTTCATTTCTGACAATATTACGAAATATGTTAATGAACCTTCCTGAGCCAGCAACTTGCATACGAGATTTAATCACATCTACTGGATAAACAGCACTCCATAATACAACACCACCAATTCCACCGGATAGTGCTGTCCGCAAAATGCCTAGAACAATAGAAAAAAAAGTTAGGAATAAAGATTAGAAGCGAGAATTAACCTAAAAAATGAAAGAAATTTAAAAAGAACGGGAAAAAATGAAAGTTAGGATTAAGATTAGAATTGAGAATTAATCTAAAAAATGGAAGAAATTTAAAAAGAACTGTTAAAATGCTCACAAGATACAATAACTTCTTCTCTCTATTACAAGAGATATAAAGAGCACATTATAAAAGCAAACCAATTTCAGATTTCGACTTTCCCTCCGGTGTCAAATAAAGTCTGGATAACTCATATGCACCGAAAAAGAGAAAGTACCCGACCGTTTCACGGCATAAGGTTGATAACATACCCGTATAAAATGCCTTCAAGCCATCCGTTCGATACATATCACGACATACTGAGAATGGAGTGCTAGAAACTTTGCTTAAATTAGCTGCAATGTAATTTCACTTCTTGAATAAACTTTTTTTAACGGCATAAAACAAGAGTAATATGAATATAATTACAGCTAATTTAGACCATAAATCCGAAGTCAAGAAACCACCCGAAAAATAAGATGAAACAATTTCAAAATTAAAATAGAAGCAACATTTGAAATTATCCTAAATGAGAATAATTTCATTACCATTAAGAGTAACTATCGTATAACCAAAAAATAACAATTCGAAAATTTCACACATAAATGGGACAATCCAATTTCACTATTTAATGTTTAACTTAATAAATATGTTATTGCTTGAAATTTCAGAAATATGAAAATAAGCTTCACAAATATGAAATTTTTACTTTGCACCAAGAAATCAAATAAATATTACGCGTACCTCCTTAATCCAGGAAAAGCTTCCCTTTGCGCTTGCAATTTACATTTGACAAGTTCAGTCGGACAAATAGCCACTGCTGCAAAAACGGATGCCAACGAACCAGACAAAGCATTTTCAAATGGTGTCATATCTTCCAATTTTGATCGTCCAATACAAAATGCAACCATCTAAGAATTTAATGTTGAATTCAAAATTAAATGTCATTCAAATCCACTTCACTGACTACATAGAAATTCTGAGATGAAGGTTAATACAGACTCAGAATATCAAGACAAAATTAAGAGAACAATCCAATTTTATTATAAGGTTCCCTTAACCTGAACTTCGCACCCTTTCATGTCATATCTGAATTTGAATAATAATTTACTACCATAGGTATTAACTCGTAACATAAAAACGATGAAAAAATGATTAATTAACCTTTCTACAATATCCGTAAGCAGCAAAAAGAATAGCATTTTCGGCGATATTTGCTGTTAAGGCCGGTATAGCACCTATAACACTTACAATAACCAATAAGTATTCAAATTAAAATTCTACATTCATTTTGTAATTTAAACATATTTGGACACAGTTGAAGAGATTATACAGCTAAGGAAACAAAGCAAAGTCACAATATTGCTCTAGCCAACTTGATATTTTTTATATTTCGCTTTAGTAAAACAGAAAAAAAAAAAAAAACGAACAAACCTGCGTATAATCCTCTGATGCCATCCAGACGTAAAACTGATTCAAAACACGCTATAGCTTTTGGATAAAACGTTGGAAATGTCTGCATTTTAACTTTGACAGTATCTAACGGCTGTCCAGCAGCGACATTTATAATACCACCTTCAAAAATTGTCATCCATCATAGCAGTTAAAAGATTCAATAATACCGTTATTAAAAATATTAAGTATTAATTATCTAGATGTTACTGTAGTAAACAATTTCTAATTAATAAACTTGAAACAAGGAGATACCTACTGTACCAGCAGCTAAATCAACAATACCGTCTTTGATATGACCAATATTATTCGAGTATGAAACGTCTACTTCACATTTAGCCATCCAAATCATGAAATGACACACGATAAATTATAAGCTCTCTACTTTCATATTTTGTAAATTTGTAGGAAAAAGAAACAAAAACTGTTTATAGCTATCGCGTGCTGCTGTTAGGATAGCCAACAATGCTGAATGAAAATATGATCGTAAAAGTTTAACTTCATGATTTTCTGATGAACAATTTACTCATTGTGAAATAAAATAATGTGACAGAACAAAAAAAGGTTTAACTTTGCAGTACAATAATATACAAAATGCTACTTAAAATTTCCTAAAAATTTAAACATTATAAACTAAAAGAAAATATCAGTCTGTCTATTTCTTCATTAATCACTGAAATTATTTACTGTTATTGAAAAGGCATGAAAAAACAATGAGCATCTTTTTGTAAGATATTCTTTTTTTAGAAAAAAGACTAACAGAAAGATGTCCATAATGTTAGCAGTCATAATTACTCTGTTCGTATATCATCATTCAGTGCGATTTGCAAAGTCAAATCAAAAATTTTCAAAAAGGTATCAAAAATGAATAAAATTTACAAAATGGACACCATGTTCTGTGTAAAATATATGACAAATCATCCTTCAAAAAAGATGGAACATTTTTGATTGAAGTCAGAATTTATTTTACATTTAACTGATTCACATAACGCTGAAAAATTCAGCTATTATTTTCTTTGACTACCCTTTTTTTTGTTTGGGAGCATTAAGCTTCGAGCTTTGGAAGTATCTATTATTCTATTATAAAAGAATTTAGATAGAACAGTGAGGTAAAGCAGCAAGGGCCAGCCGAGATACCGATCTCACTACTTTTGTATATTACAATGAAGGACTATAAAAGTTTTTTTCGACATATTTCGTAGACCATCCGCTCACGAAAATATGGCATGTGATCCTGACTGAAAGAGATCTGAGCACGCCGCGCTGCATACTCTGCAAATTTACATGCAAACATTCCACAATCACTACCATTCATTTGTTGTGGAATATCCTGAAATATGACTCCACTTGAGTTTATTACGTAAAAACTATTCCACAGATCTCTTTTAGCTCTATCATTCTTCCAAAATTGAACAGAAACTTCGAAAGCTTAAATTTATTCATTAGCTGTTAAAAAACTAACGTCACGATTCACAAGCTGCCAATCACTAAGGTCGAATTCTTTCTTTCTTTTGTCTAACGACTCTTCACAAAGATATTCGCTGAAACAAAACAAAGTGTTGAAAGTGAGGGTAAGTTTTAGTATTCAATACCAATAAAAAATGTAACTTGGACAACAGTACTTCAAACAATAGTTGAAACATCATTAAGTTCTATAAACAAGTTATCTAAAAAGTACTAAAATACAAATTAAAGGCAGATAACCTCATAACATCCAGGCAATAGTCATTGCTCCCACCCATTGAATCATAATAATCAATTATCCTATTTTTGAAATCAATAACCTGAAAAAACCGCAACAAATGTGTAGGCGCTAAATAATACCTCACAACATAAAACAATTTTTTCTCGGACAAAAACAATAAAATCTGAAAAATGAAGCACTTACAGCAAGACACCAATGAGCACCCAAATGAACAGGAATCAATAATAGCTCGTACGAAAAAATGTCAATTTTGCGTGTCCAACGTCTAATAGATGCATATCCCTTACTACTTAAAGTAGAATAAAAAAATGAGTTGAACGCATACACCTAAATCAGCATGAAAGGTTAATCCATTGAAGTTAAAATTAAATATCTTAATTTTGATTCATTAATATTCAAAAATAAAAGGTAAATTGCTTAACTGCTCAATAATTTTTCAAGAAATTACGAATTCTTCAAGCAATAATTAAAAGGAATGCAAACTGCTGGAAAGTTAAACATATAAATTTTTTGTTATTAGAAAGCATTCATTAGAAAATTATACAGGAAATTATATCAGTCAAACCTAGATGAGCAGATTTTAAATTCAAACAAGATTTTGCTGATCACTTTTACTCTAACGAATAGTCCTTACTTCTTATTATGATTATTAGTATTTCACAACAATTAATCTATGTTTCAATTATTTGTAATATTTAAACATTACAGCATAAGCTTTTAAAATATTAAACAATACTCTATAACTTCAAATTCACCTTTGGTAAATTTTCATCATTCTGTGAACGTTCACAGATGAGATTCATATAAAAATTGATTATTTCATCGTTAAGCCAATCAAGTCCTTTCAACGTTAGCAAGTCCTTCCGTGTTATTTCATCAGATAATTTCTCACTCAACGGCAATTTTCGATTCCAAGCACGTTCTACTACCAGTAAAGCTTCATCATCAAGTTCTATAATGATAATTTTTGAGTTTTGATAACGGCAAACTTTTTTAGAACAGCTAGAAATCTCAGCGCTACAATTTTTCGAATTAAAATTACTAGTCTTTGCTAATAAATAAAAAATATACCCGGAAATTCATCCTTCACTTTTCGCGGACGAAAAACGTATCCGGTGAGAGTCAGTTTTTTCCTCAGCTGTTCTTCCAAACTCAATTCCTCATCCCGTCGTGCTTCTTCACTGCAAACAAATAAAACGCATGCTGTAACATACTACTATGAATAAAAATTTTAGAATCGATAAGTCAACAAGAATTATTACATTAAACGTTTCTGAATCTTCAGTTCTTTGGCACGGCGATCCCTTAGAGCAGCCTGTTGATGATGCATTGCTAAACGATGCTTTGCCACTAATTTCGTATTTTTTTCTTTCTCCCACAAAGCTTTGAAATCATCACGGTGCTTTGTATTTCCAATAATACAAGTTTCTTCCCTGTAATGTCATGAAATTTCAAATAAAGCAACCAGATGATAAATCACAAATCAAAATATGTCTTACACGCACGACAGTGGAAAAAATAAATATCTTTAAAATGCGACCTGCTTCCCTGAATGTTGTAGTTCGAATACTCACTGGCTTCGCTATCACTACTGGTTTTTTTTTCGACAACAATATTATCCGAGCTATTCGTTGCCATGGATCCTTTTCGTGATAAATTTTCTGATGAAGTACAAACGGCATTTAATGCGGACTGGCCTCTTTGCAGTAGTTCCAGATAATTTATTTTCTTGAGTGATTGCTTCCTTAAATTAAAAAATTAATTCTTATGGAAATTTCTGAAATAATTTATAAATTTTCATAACATTGAAGCAAAATATACTTTTCATTATTGTAGAGAAGTGTTACTTCTGTTTTAAGGATGCCCGCTTCTTCCAGAAATTTCCTGTAATGCTCTTTGCCTTCCTTGTCGACTACCTGAAATCTCAAAAAGTTTGGATAATTACATCAATTAAAATTGAAAATATAGAGACACTGAATATTCAAATGGATATTCTGATTTAAGGGTTATTGAAATTACTGACAAGGAACAAAGTGAAATGGACCAAAACGTATACGATGAAGAGTGCAAATTACAATGCAGTAAAAAATAATAGCTTGATATCACTATTATTGATAATAATCCATGCAAGGCAGTAAATTCTTGCTTTTTCGTTTTTTATGAATAAATCTGACAAACCATAAAAATGGATGTACTTACATTAACCTGTCCACCAAAGTGTCCTTTTATGTTAGAACCGAGATTCACCTTATATGGTGAGTAGCGATTTGATAACGTGTTTCTATAATTATTAAAATTTCAAGTACAAATCTGGATAAGAGTAAAGTTGAAATGTTGCAGTTCCTTTTTCTTTTGTATGTTCAGATTAGAGAGTTTCCAATCTAATTTTGTTTTTACAAATATTAAACAAAGAACCAAAAAAGAAAAATACCTGGCTGAAGATAATGTTCGCCGACGTTCCCATTTATCCGACAAAATGCTTGAACCTAAATATCCCAATAAAAAGAAACATTTTACTAGTATGATTAAGATTATATTCTTGCTTTAATAACTCTTTCAAACGTATTGCACAAAATGACAATAATAAAAAAATATACCGTCTGCATTAGACTCTTCTCAATTTAGCTTTAGGAAATGAATGCGTGTGAACATACAGGAATAGAAATTAGAGAACCTTCTCGTGAATGAGATGGTGAAATCTGTTGACTTTTACTGTGCTCTGGTTGTTCTGACTGTAAATCGTATCTCAGTGAGTTATCTTTCACACTGTTTTGCCAAAAAGCATCCTTATTGGAGGCTAAAAATATTTCATCCTACATATTTCATCCGGTTGTTCTATTTCCCAAGAATTTCACCAACAATCGGAAATTTGTTTTTCCAAATGAACAGTGCTTCGAAATCGACTTCTAATTCCTTGTGAATTCATTTATCATTAACTGGCTGTTTAATGCAAATCAAATTTTTATTCTCCCCTTTCATTCGCCTTTTACAGCCTATTTTAATTTATAGAAGTTCAATGCTCTTCTTGTTATAAATGAATAAATTAACTTTTACCCCATGTTGGTGCTGCGATAAATGCATTTGATGACTTCTTTTTTTCAACTAAAATTTTGCCTTTCGAATCTTTTATTTTGTCTTCCTTTTCGTTTTCCTTGTCTTCCATCTGTCCAGCGGTGCTTCCACCAGAATATAAATCTAAAAACCAGTGGAAACTCGAAAAACTTTTGAGAAGAAAAAGCAGACAGAAATAATGTGAATAAAAAAATGTGAAAATAACCTTTTTTTGAAATCAATGAATACAAGATAGAATCCTCTTCTTCGATAATTACTGGATCGTCGTCGTCACCAGCTAAACGCAATATATATTTCTCCAAGCAAAATCAATAATAATAAATGATGGCAATGATCGGTGTAGCACATCATCTCATGATAGTGCAGTAAGAACACCACAAAATGAACGAAAAAAAAATATATCATTCACGAGATTACTTTAATTATTTTAGTGGTGATCCTGGCTGTCTTCTTTTTTATAATACATCTTTCTTTATCCAGAATCCATGTCACAATAACTTATGAAGTGAAACAACTATTTAACCAAAGTTACAAAAGTAAGTTACAGAACTAAAGACTTTTTTTCA